ATGTTTTATTTTAGGATTAGTTTATTTTTCGAATATGTACTAAAATAATGTATTAAAATATACATTTCATATGAATGCCTATTTAGTATATTTTATCAGCATTTGTATTCAAGTAGTGTAATCTAATCACATTTAATGAAGAATCCAAAATTGCTTTTTGTTCGAGGAAAACCAAGAATTTTTGTTCTATCATAGAAATGCCAATTTGGTTTTCTAAGGATTCCAAAACAGTTATTATAATATTTTGACCCATGCAGTCATGATAAAATACTAGTATTGTTTAATTTTGTTGATCATTTTCAAATCAAAGACAACTCGTATTATTTGTCATACAATCGTGCTTTCTGTCATTCAGAATCGCGTAATGATTTATGTCAGCATAGTAATTAACATTGATAAAAATGTAATAAGTGTTTGAAAAATTTAACTCGAGTTCTTATTAAAAGGTTCTTAATATTGGCGATTTAAATATTTCTAGATTATCTATATAAAAAAAAAAAATAACAAATAATATTTATTGTCCAATGTTTAGTACTGAAATAGTTTTATTATTTTTGTTTGAAATAAAGCATTTATGAATGGCATATTATAAAATTCATTTAGAAAACAAAAACATTAAAATAAATATATGAGAAATATACGTGTACACATGACTCACAACGTAGTGTGTTTATAAATTATCATGTGCTGCTTCTATAATAACAAGTTGAAGCTATAATACAATTCGAATATAATGTTGAAGAATAAATATTCAGCGTAGAGTAATATAAAATCTATATTTTGAAATTTTGAATTCAAAATTAATTAATTTTTCTTTAGTATTCGTAAAAAAKAAAATAATATTTTCATTTTATTTACAAACGTCAAGTGGAATATATGTTATATTATAATTTTCAAGTATGGTATAACACTTGTAAATTTGTATATATATTATACTGAACATGCTATATGCCTATATATATATATAGTATATGCCTACATGAAAGCAATAATGTACCTATTGTTTTAACATTGCTATATAGTATATATTGTTAAACGTCACTGTACCGTARTTTTTTCATTAAAGAAAATTATACTATTATAGTTTATTTTATTGATTTATTCATATGCGACGAAGAATCGAAATCAAAATAATAACCAATAACCATACCTGAAACTTGAAACACAAATGATGCACAGTATGATAATATGCAAGTATTTGTAGTTTGTATATAGGTTATCAATATTATATTATAGGTATAGCGCGAAAGTCTGAGAGAAATGTTTATTGAAAAACTATAATGTGCGCGTTTTCCCAAATGCGTATTACTATTATTATTATTATTATTTAAGTCGATCGCCTCCAAAGTGGCATGTGGTGGGTATATACGTAAACCATGTGATTTACTCTCCATGAAACAYAATAAATTATATACACGACACTACCGTGGATTCTTATATATAGGTACCTACTACCTATATGTGTGTTATCTACGTGGCCAATTTATGCCTCGTCCGATGAAATTTATGTCGAAATAACAATCGACCTATCCGCATGACGCGATACCTTTGCACGATAAGGTGGTAGGTATCTTTATTTTTTTTTCTGGGGAGGTACAAAAAATATTTTGTTATATTTCAATCAATACTATAAATATTATTACGATAGACATGACGGACGTTTTTATCAAATATGAACTTTTTCCTTTTAAACCATACCTGTGTTCACCAAATGAGATTCCAATAACCGATTCCATGACTATTTTTATACATCATTAATACGTGAAGTACCCATTCAATTTTTTTCTTAAATTAATTTGTGATACTATTTATTTTAGGTTATGATTTTTTTTTTAGCGGGAAATAAAAAAAAACAGTAAAATTCACACCTAACTGCTAATTTAAAATAATAAAATATTAAAAAACAGTAAAACATTATACTTTTTAATTAATACATTGACAAAATTACAA